AATTATATTATTAAACCAAATATAAATTACTTCGTTATTGTACATAAATTAAATTATAAAAAAATTGAATTAAAAATTTACACAAAAAATTAGGAATTTCAAATAATTAATTTGATACTAATATCGATATATTTTTGTCAAATTTTCATGATATCTTCAAACATATATTTTATTCAAAAATAAAAACATCATCGATTTCTCAAAATCACATAAAGTCATATTATAACATCGACTGAGATAAAGAATAAAATAAAATATTAAAATCACGATGTATCTCGCTGAATTGCGCGAATACGCTTCTAGTATATATATAAGTTTTTCAAATGAAAGCTTAAAAGTGAGATTTTGAGAAAGCAAATATTTATCCAGCTGGAGGGGGGACCATATTTTGACCCTATTTTCTATTACTTAATTTTGGTCAAGGATATGATGTGATTTAGATTATTTTTATTTATTTATTATTTTGTTTTAAATTAAAAAGAAAAATACTGAGAGAATATGAATGAACCACGTCATATGTTGAAGTGGTTCAAAGATATGAATAACGTTTTTCTACGCTAAATTACATATTTTGTCCTTCAACTATTATACAATCTACAGTTTTAGTCCACAAGTTTATTTATAGTCGTTTGATCATGCACTGAATCGTTAAAATGACCAACTTTCTGTTAATACGTCACACGTGTAAAATGTATGAGTTAATGTGTCATACGTTTATACAATACAAAAAAGGGAGTTCTAACGACGTGCTTTCAACGAGAAGTTTCATCTACAAGCTATAATGATGACATATTGTCTCTACAGATCTTTCATGAGGATAAATACTCTTAACGACGAAAAAACTCGCCCATATATATATATATACAAATATATATATATATATATATACAAATATATATATATATATAGAGAGAGAGAGAGAGAGAGAGAGAGTTTGTTTCAAATACAACCATCGCAATTGTACAACCAATGCAACCCAATAAGTTGAGATATTTATGGAAATGATGAGAGTTCATTTATTATGATTTGAATATTTATGAAAGATAAATATGGTTCATTAATTATGATCAATACTTTATATTAGAAAACAATCAAAACTTCTATAAAATCACATATTAATCAAATGAAATRRACGGTTGAGATTGGGTTGTATTAGTTGCACAAATGTCAAGAGTTGTATAATAACCACACACATATGTATATATAGAGAGGTGGGTTATAATATACCCCTTACATTTGTACACGAATACAACTCTCTCAACCGTCCATTTAATTTGATGAATATATAATTTCATAGAAGTTTTGATTGTTTCCTAATATAAAGTATTGATCATAATTAATGAACCTTATTCATCTTTCATAAATATTTAAATCATAATAAATGAACTTTCATAATTTCCATAAATATTTCAATTTATTAGGTTGAATTGGTTGTACAAATGTGATGGATTGCATTATTAATTAAATGTATTATATAAAAAACAGGTATTTTATTCTTTATAACTTGATACCCATATATTATTGGAAAAACAAAATAGAACAACGATAAATAGAGAGAATATTTTTTTTATTCTCATTAATAATAAGCCTTTAAATAGAGATGTTTTTATATGTTAGATAATATTGAGATATATCAAACCTAATATAGATATCTTTATATATCGTCATATCCATTTGATGATGACATACTTATCCTTCAACAATATATATATATATATATATATATATATATATATATCATGAAATTGTAATAACATTGAGAACTTGTTTTCATTTTTATCTCGATTTTCAAAATTTTCAGTCACGAGTATATTCACATGTGATTATTCATAGAATATTTTTATTACATCAAACAACATTTTCACGTACAACGTATTAGTACATTTGAATTTTATAAACTAAGGGAGTGTTTAGTTGGAGGTATTAAAAGGTAATGAATCGAAATGATAATAAATTATCAGCTTGGTTCAAATTAGGAATGGAAATTGAATGAAAAGTGGTGTCTGGTTTCAGATTTTTAATCAATCATTATAATAGATTTGGGTAAAAATCATTCCTCCCTAATTTGGGACGAGTAAAGTTTTTTCTCCGATTCTACCTCTCACCCCTCTCAAGCATCACCGACTTGCCCTCTTCTTCTCGTCTCCATGACAACACAATCCGCTTCTGCAACACAACACAAATCCCTAAAAATGTATGAATAATTTATCGAACAAATAGAAAACGAAGACTTTTCTTAATAATATAATTATTAAAAAAACTTTCAAAATTGGATCTTTTCATAAATATTATTAGGCATGGGAATGGAGCGGGGACCTCAATCCCCGTCCCTGATTACTTATTTCTATCCCCGTCTTGTCCCCAATGGGGAAACGGGGATTTTTTTTATATAAGTTATTTTAAATTAAATATGTGAAATATCATACATGTTTAAATCTCAAACATTTTCAATAAACCTAAAATCAAAATGAATTTAATTTAATACAAAAAAAAAACCACATCATATAAGAACTAATAACCTAAAACCAAAAAAAAAATCAATTAAATCCAAAAAAAAACTTAAAGTCACATGTACCAAAAGATAATGAGTAATATAAAATCATATCGAGTAATATACGAAACTTATCGAGTAAATGCATTTTGACTTGACATCCAATTAATTACATATTAACATCCAAAAAATAACAATTTTAGATTATAAACCTAGTTAGGAAATAAGAAATTATGAACTACCACTTTAATTAAAACAAATAATATATATATATATATATATATAACAGGTACGGGACGAGGCGGGAAGTACCATACCCGTCCTCATCCCCGGTTTGAGACAAACGGAGATCCCCTTCCCCATCCCCAATTTAACGAGGAATCCCCGTCCCCGATTTAGCGGGGAATCCCCGTCCCCGATCGAGACGGGTGGATCGGGTTCCCGATGAGTCAGGACAATTCCCATGCCTAAATATTATATTCAAAGTTCCAAAATAATTGGGACCTTTTTATAAAATGGATGTCGTGCACCTTTCTAAAACCATAACTATTTGCTTGGTCTCCTTTTCTTATTCCACTTGCATTAAATAAGGGTAAGCTAGAAATTTGGTTCAAGTGGTTTGTCGAAAATACAGTTTTCATTCCTGTAATTTTAAAACTATAGGTCGTGGTTTGGTCTTATCTTTTAAGGATTGTTAAAAAATTCCGTTCAAAATAAGGGACATTTTGGTTCTTTTATCAGTCGTTTTGTCTTTTAAACAAGCAAAACCGTTTATGATTTGAAAACATGTGTTTGATTGGGTAAATGACAAAAAAAATATCGTTAAAAAGACGAAAATACCTTCATTTAACATAAATTTTTAATCGCGTTAGAAGGAGGTACCAAATGTTAAGGTCATTTTTTCGAATCGCTCTGCATATCGCGTCGAGCCCATCCGAAGGGTTTGGTTAAGATATGCCAAATTCTACCATCCAATTATATTATGCCTTAAATTAGGCTTCAATTGACCACGGAAAGAAGAGAAAAGAGAGCATTAAACAAATGAAGAAGGCGGTCAGACAAGGTATTTTTGCACATATTTGACGTTTAATAAATACAAATTTAGATAATATGATTCATACTTCATATTCGAACCTTACGATCGGACTCCAAAAAAGTATCAAATCGATTATAACTACTACCTACATTCCACGAAATTGTGCACCACAAATAGGAGCTAATAAAAAGACCCGCGATCCCAGACGACCACCTGTTTTGCAGATAGCGCAGAGTCACCGCATTTGAACCTCCGTAGCCACAAGGATATTTTTATTTCTTCTTGGATTTGAATTTGGAATCTCTTGGTACTTTTAACATTTGGAGCCTAGCTCAAACCAATCAGACACCACCCTTGTGGTTGTTTACTTTATAATTTATGTAAGTATTTGAAAAAATAATTTGAATTTAAGAAACAAAAAAATAAATAGTTGAATTAAAAAAATTAATATTTGGAAAAAGTCACAATAAAGCGGCTGAAAACCATATATAAGCACAAACACATAACCGAAAACTCAAACCAACACCTTTGCTTTATAAAAGCACACACAAACATAGTCTTCATATAATTTTCAACTTCATTCTGAAAATAAATGGATCAAATTAAGCATAATTACGTTCAAGTCGATAAGTTGAAGCTCCATGTAGCCGAGATTGGGTCGGAATCATCGCCCGCAGTGCTTTTCCTACACGGATTTCCTGAGATATGGTATACTTGGCGCCATCAGATGATTGCCATTGCAGAAGCCGGTTTTAGAGTCATTGCACCGGATTACAGAGGATATGGACTGTCTGACGTCCCTGCAGAACCCGAGAAGACGTCATTTGTTGATTTGGTCACAGATATTGCCATCATCCTGCAATCTCTTGCCATATCTAAGGTACGTATCTTTGTCTGTGTTTTTTGGTTACATATTTTTTTTATATGATTATGGATACCAACTGGCTGACCTATTTTTGTATCGTTTCTTAGGTGTTTGTGATTGCTAAGGATTTTGGATCAATGGTTGGCTACATATTTTCCATTTTCTTCCCAGAGAAACTTGCAGGAATTGTAACATTGGGCGTTCCTTATATGCCCCCTCAGGCTTTGCAGCAAATTCAGACCCTCCCTGAAGGTTTCTACATGCGAAGATGGCAGGTACACACCCTTTCTCATCCTTTACGTTTCTTAAAGTCTGGAATCCAATTTCATCGATATAATTGAAATTTGTATTAGGAACCTGGAAGAGCGGAAGCTGATTTTGGTCGGTTTGATGCTAAAACCGTGGTGAGAGGCATCTACGTTTTGTTCTCTGAAAGGGAACTACCCATAGCTGGTGAAAACGAGGAGATTATGGATTTGGTGGATCCAACGGCTCCTCTACCCTCTTGGCTCACAGAGGAGGATCTTGATATCTATGCTACTTCGTATAAGAAGTCTGGATTTCTAACCGCACTCCATGTTCCTTACAGGTAATTCATCGAGCATATCATGTACATGAACTTTTTATAACCATGAGATATGCATGATAATAGAGCCAACTTACGTCTACTGAGTTTATGTTGTTTTACAGCATGCTTGATGCGACATTTATAAAATTATAACATAACAACGTATGTAACTTTCATATGAGCAAAATATGGAACACGACAAAAATGAGATTTTTTTTTTCAAATTTTTTTGTTAAACAACGTCCAAATGTGTAATTTTTTAAAATTCGTGGATTTTTCTTTAAGGTACATATTTAACAGTCTTGAATTACATTAACCATGTGTCCAACAGTTCAGTAATTTTCACGGGACAAAGAGAGTTATAATATCTGAAGTTGAAAATCAGTCTATATGATTTCAATTGCCGGTTTTATTATATTGTAAGATGAGTAGCAATCACAATGGGGCCCAAATTTTAAATTATATAGAACTGCCAGACAGCAAGGTGAGGTTCATGTAACTCTGGCCTTTTTCGCGACTCTGTTTATATGTTGTCATCAATTTTCGTTAATCATTGCAGATCATTATTGGAGAAAGTTGAACCTCCAAACCAAGACCCGAATAATCTGCGAATCGAAACTCCAGCACTGTTCATCACAGGCGATAAAGATTTCTTCTTCAACATCCCCGGAATGGAGGAATACTTGACGAATGGTGTCAAGAATTACGTACCAAACCTTGAAATCATATTTGTGCCTGAAGGTTCTCATTTTGTTCATGAACAATTTCCCGACAAAGTGAATCAACTCCTCCTCAATTTCCTCAAACGCAACAAATATTAGTGATTTCAAGCTTTCGTACGGATAATTTCAGCCATAATTTCATTTCCGATAAGTTTTCTTGTGCTAAGACCTCATCATGTAATATTGTCCTCAACGGTGTAATAAATTGGATTACTTTTGGTTATATTTTATCTTTACAATATCAAATACGTAAATAATAAATAATCCAAAAAAGGAATGTGTCGAATAGACCAAATGGATTAAAAAAGATGAATTATTTATTACATAATAAAAAAAATATTGGTGAGTCAACCCAACTTGTTCTGACACGAACCCGTTTTTGACTCGTTACTTAAATTGTCCGACATGCCCATTTTGACCCCTCTAAGTCGTGATTTTTTTATAACTTCGTAAAATTTCCGAAAACCAAACTCGAAGAAGTGAAAAAAAATTTGCTTTCCATTTATTCAAATATCATGTTTCTTCGAATTTGAATCAGTACATCTTTTCAGATAACTTTCTTGAATAATACAGTAAAGTATAAGAGTCCGAATTTTGGGATTGATACAAAAAATTATCAGTGTTAAATCAAACACTAAACTTTTATAAACAAGCAAATATATATATATATATATATATATATATATATATATTATATATCAATATACGAGCAAATTAATAATAAACGTTAAAAACAAAGAATACAGTACAGTAGTTATCAGTTAACTTTTAATTTTTGAGACCTTTGTATGAATCTCGCATCCATTTATTTCTTCTGTTTCCATTCAGTTAGATAAGCGTGTATGTGTATTTTTTTGTACGTGAAAACCGAAAGAGAAATCGAATTTAGTCAATTTGATTGATGTGACTGGATTCATTAATTTTGACGGTTTAGATTCTATGTCAAACTAAAATACTGAGTTTGGTCTAGATTTTGGAACTTAAACATGTTAAATAGACTGTACATGTGATGTGTACAGGTAGTTCAGACTCGATACAAATAACTTAAAAATAACTAGTTCGTATTGAAAATCGCAAACAATTAAAGGAATGTGTTTTTTAACCACCATATTTTTAGTTTTATTACAAATTAACTATATTTTATTTATAAACTTTTTTTGAAATATAAAATAGACAATTATATACATTTAAATTTTTATTAATTTTATAATAATAAACAGTTTTATTGATTATATTTTACTTTCTATGTATCAAGGACTCAAGGACATGATTTGGTTTGTCTTGAATAGGGGGGATATATTGCCCCTACCTAACCCAAGATCTTCCCTCGGGGGCGATCCGGCCCTCCCTCCAACTTTGACCCTGTTTTGTCTTCTAGTGAGGAAATCGATTTGACAATTAAAGAGTGTTCTTTAATAAATGGGGGTAGGCGATTTTGACTAGTTTTTTTTTACTGTTTTAAGACCAAATGTTGTGGTTTAAACACTTCTACTATCACAAATCGTAACTCTTAAACACCTTACCACAATATGAAATCACGTCAAGTTTTATAATTTTACTACTTTTTTAAACGCATAAATGAACCAATGAATGTTTTTATATTTTCTTAAAAGAATTATATTTTTATAACCACTGAATGTTAATTTTTTTTTAATAATTGTTGATACGAAAAAATTTATTGGTATCTGATTTGGGGGACAATAATTTTTTTCGTATCAACAATTATTAAAAAATATTAATATTCAGTGGTTATAAAAAAAATTAATTTTATAAGAAAATATAAAAGCAATCGTTGGTTCATTCATGCGTTTAAAAAAAGTAGTAAAAATTATAAAGCTTGACGTGATTTCTTTTGTGTTAAGGTTGTGATCGTACATTGTGTTTAATGGTTACGGATTGTGAAAGTAGAAGTGTTAGATTTTATAGAGTAAAACCATGAATAAAATAGTCAAAATAACAATCAAAATCCTTCCCCGTTTATTGAAAACACCCCTTAATTGTTGAATCGATTTCCTCACTATAAGACAAAATAACAGTCAAACGTGTAAGCCGCATCGCCCTCGGGGGAAGATCCTAGGGTAGGTGGGGGTAATCCTACTATTTAAGATAAATCAGATACTTGGTCCCCCAAATCAGATACACGTGGGCCCCACAAATCAATTTAAAATAATTTTTATGTACTTTTTTGGGTCAAAGAGGTTGGATCGCGCGCCTTATGGTCAAATCGTCCCTTGGAGGCGATCCATGTGGTTATTTTGGTAAAACATGAAAAAAAAAATGACTATTTTATTAATATATTACGTATATTTTGGTTACTTTGGTAAAAAAAAAACCTTTATACATGCATTACTGGTGAAATGAAACGTTGATTCACATATGAATTTTTATATGTGAATAATTAATAAAAAAAATAGGTAAATAAACGTGGATTCATATATGCATCTTTAAATGATCTTTTTCAAATTTTCAAGTAATTCACATATGAATCATTTATTCGTATGTTATCAACATTTTTACCTTTCTTAATACAAGAAAATTGATTATTTAAATAAATATAAAATTACTTATTTTTCTAATTTAAATAGTTTTTGCTCGTATTTTCTAATCTCTTTAACAATATACAAGAATGTCCTTCTTCTATCATTTTATCTATTACCGTCAAACACTCAAACCCAGTGATTATCTATTAATTATCATATAATTATTTCCCGAATGTAGCAATAATTAACAAAATAAGAAATTAAATATTTGAATTATAATACATTTATATAATAAAATTTTAAATATAAAAAAATTAAATATA